TTTTAGGCTGGGTTGTGTTCATTAGGCACCAAATCGAAGAAAAGGGACCGAAACACGGAGGGACTACCTGGACCATTGTGGGCACTAATGAACACCAGTCTAGAAGTTTAAAAGATTCGGACACATCTCAGGACGTTTTAAAGCGTGAATTCCATGTTAGTGCATTTTCTGCCTCTTCCCACAATGCGGGTTAAGTCAATTTGTAAGTCGCTCTGGATAAGAGCGTCTGCTAAAGTACTTAAATGTAAATGTAAATGTAAGAGCAGTTAAGGTACCCAGATCCAGCTGTTAAGGGAGCTCCCAAATTAAGTAAGGTCTTTTTGTTTCTTTTTACCCTACGATTTTAACTATATACAACGCCAGCACCCACACTAACCCACCTGTTTGTATTTGTTAGTGGTGTTAATACTGATTTATGGTGTGGGGTCTTTTTATTTGGTTTTAGTGGATTTTTCACGGGTTAGAAAGGATGCTGTACACAAATGAACGTTTCTATTGTCAGAGTTTTGGGTGCACACGTAAATTCTCTTGATTAGAAGAAATGTACTGAAAAACCCAATGTAAACCTGATAAACAAAATGTTTGAAATGTTTGTAATATCTTTAAATAATGTCTAAGGTACAGGAAAACAAAAAATGTATAGGGCTGACTGACCCCTGACCTCTGTTCTGACTTCCTGGTGAAGCCTGATCACCCTCACTCAGAAATACTGGAGACATTGGGTGAGATTTAAATGGGCTATGTAAACACTAAACAATTAGAGAGAGTTTGTAATTTATCAATAGTCCTATGTGTGATTCTGTACCACAATATAACATACGAGAAACGCTTTTCCCCCTGAATTGGACCCTGTCTCTAGTCTATTTTTAAAACCATTACCTTATGGGATCACAATTATTTTCCTTATGGAGTTTCAAAGTCTTTAATGCTAATTTGATTTGTTATCGTCATTTTTTTATTTTTGATTTAACAGGCGTGTTGTTGTTGTTTTTTTGCACGCATGAATCACTATGGAGTCATGTGTCCAAAGGGGGTTCCATCCCCTGTGGCCCTGGCCTTTGGTAAATAGCAAATAGATTTTGTTCAGTGTCATGACTTGCCCTCATGGGTTGAGGATCAAACATGCCTGCTAGGCAAAGGTTGAACACCCCCTTTTATTTTAACATTTACATTTTAGAGGTCATTTAGCAGAACTCTTATCCAGATGACTTACGGAGCATTAGGAGGTTAAGTGCCTTGCTCAGGTCACATCGAACAGATTTTTTCACCTAGTCGGCTCGGGAATTTAGGAACCATCGACCTTTCGGTACTGGCACAAACGCTCGTACCACTAAGCACCTGCCGCCTTCCTGGTGGCCAGTTTTTATTACCGGCCGTAAATACGTCAGACTTTCTCTTCCAGAGCATGAAGTATTGGGAGAAAGGACAACCTTTTTTAACAAAGGACGTCTTCCCTCCAAGACTCCAACATCCAAAAGTGGAATAATGAAACAATATTCCTACTTAAAGAAAGGTGAAGACGTGAGTGGGTGAGCTAAACGTTACAAATGGGTTAAAACTACAACTCCATTACCACAGGAAGACCAAGCATACTACGGTATAAGCGGACGTTGCCAAAATGGTTGAATTTCTACCAGACCAAGAAGCGTGAAGCTGAAGCTCACTTACAAAAATGGTTAGACCATAAGACCAGAAAGGTGAAGACGTTGTCCACACCACTTTTGAATGGGAAAACTCTAAACCTCAACCTCTACACTATGGTGAAGGAAGAAGACAAGGCCCTATACCTTATCATTGCAGTCTGCAGCTGGCATGTATAGTCGTCTAGAGAATTTTCACTAAAGACAACGAGTTGGGAAGTACAACCGCTGGACTCTGAAGTATCCATTCTAACCCAACTACAACCAGAACTCTACCAAGGACATTGGATCTCTGGTGGGCAAACCAGAGTCCCTAAATCATCAACCTCACTATGGCGACGTTCAAATGAGACTGATAAGAGGTATTATTTAGTAGTGACTGTATCGATAATATACCATATACTTCTAAAGTTTAATGGTAACCGTTAAACACTTCTTCCGTGTGCCCCAAATTCCTAATGAGTTAATTGTTACATGATTAAATTTATCGAGTGACAATTAAACTAGGTTAGGTGATTCGATAAAAAAACAGTCATACATTAAAGTAAGTCACGTCACGACACATGCTGCCTAAAAAATAAGAAATGTATTTTTGGTAATGATTAAACAGTTACTCCAAAATGGATTTAAGTTTTCCCCACCTCGAGTGAATTTCGTTTTGTTGTTGTTGTTTTGTTTTCTTTTTTTTTGTCTTGCTTCAATAACAAATCTCATCAGATTGGGCCTGCTGGATGGTGGGGATTTCTCCTTAAGGGATTAGCTCTCTAACTCCCTGACGCTGTAATCTGCATTTGAGATCGCCAAGATGATAGGAGAATATAAGCCAATTGGAGAAAAAAAACAAAAAGTTTTCAAATGTGTGTTTATGCTCTATGACATTTGTTTTAGAAATCTGTATTAAGAATGTTTTTTTTTCTGAATCAGAAATGCCCTAACTAAACTGTTGTTCCTGGTCTGTCCTCGCTCGTGAGGTTATGGCGAAGGTGACCACAGATGGTAGATAATTCGGCCAAGAACTTGTGAACCCCACCCCTTCTAACCGTTGAAATAATGGAAATAATGGCGTTCAGGGTGGTCCTTCACCACTTCTACTGTGAGACCTGGGTCCGAGCCAGCAAACCCGTACACTGCATCCAGTCGAAGCTATCAACTGCCTTTTCTCTCATGCCTTTTCTGTCAGGAGTACGACATGAGTCCACGTGGAGTGAGCATGGGGAGAGATCCTGTCCAAAACTTTTCTCATGCTGCTGATATACTGGTAGGAAAATGGACAAAGACATAATGGACTGTAAAGGACAGTGGTGGCTAAAGGTGAAGACATTATCAAGGGCCATCCACTTTGAACATTTTGGGCATTGGGAGGACGAACTGAAACACTATCTGAAGAAGACATGAAGAAAACGCCAGAAGGGTGAGTGCCGGAGGGGGGGGGGTGGTCAACCGTGCCCGTATTGATTAGGCTTATCCAAATTGTTTTTGGGTCTGCACACTGCAAAAAGTATAGTAATTTAGATTAAGAATGCTTGAGATACCAATCTGTCATTACCACAAGTGATGAAAAAAGTTAATGCTGGAAATAAAAATGAATATACTGTATGCAATTGTAGCGGTTTCAGGGGTTGTGTGGGGGATGGAAGTTATGTGCTTGCGAGGTTTCTTTGTTTTTTCGTCGCAAAACCCTTTGCTCTCTCTCTCCCGCTACTCTCTCCTCTTCCATCCTTCATCTCTTCTTCATCAGTTCTAGGGCCCTTCCATTCTCTCTAACACCAAGTCACTTGGTCTGTCATATCCTCAATGGTCCCCTCTTATCATTGGGTACGCAGACGACACACAATGAATTTCGCCTTTCCCCCTTCTGATAACCAGGTGGCGAATCGCATCTCTGCAGTCTGGCAGACATATCATGTGAATTTGGGTCACCACTCAAGCTGACTCGGCAGAGGAGTGCTTCCTCCCCGGGAAGGACTGCCCGCCTCATGTCTCGCCATCACGGTTGACAATCCCTGTGCCCCCTTACAGAGTGCAGAACCTTTGGGTTTTGACCCTGGACAACACCCGTTGTTTTCATCCC